ATAGTGAATGTGGTAAATAAGTTTGTGCATATTCACCTCAGCTATCACCTGCCTCTGCTATCTAGTGTCTGCTCTGACAGGGGCAAAAACCTTTTCTGAGCCATGCAGAAATGGATTGACCAGCTCGGAAGGCCATGTCTGAGGGCTAATTTTACAGTGGAGTTCTCAGGGGACCATAAAAGAGTGTGTTGCTGAGAGCTATTAGGAAGTGAATGCCAAGGCCTGGGCCTGGGAGCTGTGGAGCTGTTTATGATGGTGACCAGAAAGGAGGCTTGGAAGCAAAGGCCAGATTTGCCAGGCCTTTGGACTCTGGGCACTTGTCTGTCCTCCGCATGCTTATGTGACGCCCAGCAGGTCACTCAGAGCCTGTTTTCAAGTCACTTATTTGGCTGAGTCATTGCTTCAGCCCATTTCACCTCTGAGGATTTAAAAACCACCGTACACTTTTGGCTTCTGGGAACTCGCAGGATTAAGAGACAAAGCAGAAAAATTCTCCTCAGTGCGGAGTTTCAGGACAGACCAGCTAGTCATCAGGAGACAAGTCCTGAACACCTTTAGGATCTCCCGAAGGGTATTTAAATTGTTTTTGAGGCATTTTTGTTTCTACATTTAAATATTCTTTTAATAACTTTCTTATTACAAAAGTAATGCATATTCAAAGTTAAGACACTTGGAAAACAGAACACAGAAAAAAGCCCTCTGTGTCTACCATGTGGAGATAGCCACTGCTAACATTTCGGTATAGGCCCTTCCTTTGCATACATACTCACAAACATATAAACATACATACTTAATTTTTTTAAATAAAGCCTTTTTCATGCTGTCCAAATATGAGTGTGCCTTTCTCACTTGATAAACATGTTATATTTCCCAAATCAACATCAGTTTAAATGGCTACAAGGTATTTTCTTAGCCCTTATTTTGAACATCTGCATTATTTTTAATTGTTTGCCATTATATATCCTTGTTACATCCATCTTAGCACTTCTGCCTGCTTATTTCTTTAGGGATGGATCTAGAAATGGAGTTGTTAGAATAACACGTGTGCACTTTTAAGGCTTCCCTCTTCTGACAGGTTTTACTGTTCATACTCCCAACAGCAAAGAGGATGTACCTGTTTCCTTATATTCAGGATAGCATAAACTTTTATATTAATTTTTGTCTTTTCCTTTTTCTTGGGTGTTTAAGGAACTTTAAGAACCAAGGGACTCAGCCAGGCCTGCCTGCCTTGCAGTCCCTAGTTGAGACCTTGGTGTTTCCTTTTTTTCTGGGCAGAGTGGTACCCTGAAGACAGCCCTACTTGACTACATCAAACGCTGCCGCCCTGGGGACAGTGAGAAGCACAACATGATTGCCCTGTGCTTCAGCATGTGCAGGGAAATCGGGGAGAACCATGAGGCAGCTGCCTGCATCCAGCTGAAACTGATTGAGTCTCAGCCCTGGGGTGAGCAGAGGTCACAGTAGCACCCTCAGGGATGGTTCTTAGGGCTTAAAAGGGCAGGAGCTCATTGTATTGACTAAAACCCACCTCTGTTTAGCAGCTACCGAATGCTGCCCCACCTGGGCAGGTAAGTGATAAGGGGATTTGGAAGGCATTGTCTGCCCTGTAGTCTGAGTGTCCAGGTCATCTGTCAGGAACCAATGTGTATGCTGATGCCATGTAAGCCTGCCTTGATGTTTCAGAAAGAAATGAAGAACTAGGTGGGGCACTAAATTCTATTCCAGACTGTGTACTTCTGGCCCAATACCCTTTAACTGAGTGAGACATATCTGCTCCCTGTGAACACGAGCTGGGATATTTCTAGTCCAGCCAGTGATCACTCTGATGCGGTGGAGTAGCCAGCCTTGGGAGTCAGGCACACTCCCATTTCTTTTACTCCTTTGCAGAGGATAGCATCAAGAATGGGCACCAACTGAAGCAGCTGCTACTGAAGGCCCTGACTCTCATGCTGGATGCCGCCGAGAGTTATGCGAAGGTAACCATGGAGTCTTAGTTTAGGCTGGTTTGCAGCTTGGTACCTTCGGAAATTTTGTCCCTGGGCTCTCCCAAGTGAAGGGGGAGGGAGTCATGGGGCAATTGGCAGCAGAAGGGGGCGGGGGGCTCAGTTGTTGGAGGCTTCACTGGGAGATGATGGCAGAAGTTCACTTTTGCATCCCTCCACCCTGTCCCTCAGGATTCCTGCGTGCGACAGGCCCTGCACTGTCACAGGCTCACCAAGTTGCTAACACTGCAGATTCACTTTCTGAACACTGGCCAAAACACAATGCTTATCAACCTAGGTCGCCACAGGCTGACGGACTGCATCATGTCCCTACATCGATTCTACCAGGTAAGCACGAAAGAAAAATCTAGCCAGCACTGCCAGCATCCTCTCTCCTGCTACCTGTCTAATGGGGCTAAGATTGACTTGTCTAGGCTCAGGGTTAGTGTCAGAACCAGGACAGTTCAGCTTTCCTGACTTAGCTGTCTGACATACAAATTGCCTTTTTTTGTAGTATTTTTGCTAGCATGTTTGGACAAAGGTTGGAGAATGGTGAGACACATTGTTAGGCCAGCAGGGAGGCAGACACTTTCGCCCCTTAGACAGTTGAGGTTCAGAGGAACATCCCTGCTAGGGGTTCAGCAAGCACCTCTTATCCACAGTGTTTTATGGAATGGTGCACTGGGGTTAGCACAGGGAATCAGGGCTATTCGGGGCCTGGTTTTAGTCCTGTAATGAGAGATGGTTTCAGGAAATTGGCCCTATCACTGTTTCTTATACAGTTTAGTATGAAAAAGATGTTTTTCAGCAGTTTTACTAGTATTAATCCACTGAAGAAAAGACAGTGTTTTGGGACTTTAGGGGAAGCAAAATGTCAAACTGACACCAATTCTGATAGACGGAGCCTTTTAGTACGATTGATAATGATCAGTCAGTGTATGAGTGTGCAGCATTAAGTTTTCTAGAACTATTTCAACTTTACATCAGATAGGCTCTAATGGTGTTCTTCCCTCCATTCTTTTAAGGCTTCTATTGTGGCTGAGGCCTATGACTTTGTTCCTGATTGGGCTGAAATTCTATACCAACATGTGATTCTTAAAGGAGACTTTCATTACTTGGAAGAATTTAAGCAGCAAAGGTTATTAAGAACCAGTATATTTGAAGAGATTTCAAAAAAGTAAGTATTGCCAAAACCGGTTTGGCTCAGTGGATAGAGTGGCGGCCTTCGGACTGAAAGGTCCCAGGTTCGATTCCGGTCAAGGGGGCATGTACCTGGGTTGCGGGCACATCCCCAGTAGGAGATGTGCAGGAGGCAGCTGATCGATGTTTCTCTCTCATCGATGTTTCCAACTCTCTATCTCTCTCCCTTCCTCTCTGTAAAAAATCAATAAAATATATTTTTTAAAAAAGTAAGTATTAAAATGCCTGATTTGGATAAGGCACGGGTAATAATTTTATGGCTAAGTATAACATGCCATCCCTGTGCTTGAGATGACAAAGAAATGTCAAGAATCCCCAGGAAGATCTTTTTGCAAAAAGATGAGTGAAAACACTTTGCTTATGGTGCTCTGTACTTAAAATGAGAGGACAGTTACTCAGCTAGCCTGAGGTGCCAAAAATCCTAAACATCAAGAGGTCCCCTTTGGAGTATTAACTTATTCTAATTAAGGTAAGCAGTAAGGCACTCATTTTTAAGAAATAATGTCAGTCTTCCACTGTAGGTAATTGTGTCAGAGCTGATAGCCCTCGCTCAAGATACATACAGTATCTTAACCTGTACATTCCTGTTTCTTTGTCTAGATATAAACAACACCAGCCTACTGATATGACTGTGAAAAACCTGAAGAAGTTACTCACATATTGTGAAGATATCTACTTGTATTACAAGCTGGCATACGAACATAAACTTTATGATGTTGTGAATATGCTTCTGAAGGACCCTCAGACAGGCTGCTGTCTAAAGGACATGCTAGCAGGTTAGATGGGTTCTGATACAGGTGCCTGTTTTCTTATACTGCAACGAGGTACTGTCAGATGTTTGTGATTACAGTAGAATAATGCATTGGGAGCTTTGTTGTCCAAGTTATAAAATCCAGAACTGATCATACCAGTCCTCTGTGGGTCAAGAATGAGAGAGTTTTCACAAGGAAATTCCTATTTTAAAAGTGATGTTTCTCTGTACCATTTTATATAGATATTGGTATTAAGTTCAAAACTCCCATCTTCCTCAGGATGGCTTTTACTTTAGGACATGATATAATATTGATTAAAGAATACCTGTGCCTGCAGATTCCAGTTTCAAAGGAATTTAATATTATTTACACAGTTAAGGAACAGATGATACATTTCCATTAGTTAGAAACTGATCTCTATAATAAAATAGATTTTAAATTCAGTGCATGTCATTATTAACTGCTAAGGAAATCTTAGCCCTTGTCTGCCTTAAAACAATTTTTTATTGGCTGTAATTATTGCTGTGTAGTCACTGCTTTGTTAATTTCTCAAATTATTTGGATGGTCCTGTCTTCCACTTAGTGCTCTACAGAGTTTTGATTGAGACCCTTCCCTTTGTATGTAAGAGAAATTAAAAAAAATTTTGTTCTGTCCCTACTTTTGAGTCTGTGACAGTTTTAAACATTTAACAAATTTGGTTAAATTGCTTAAAAATATATATGTAATAAAGATGACTCAATCTATGCTCACAGCCATACCCGAGTTATAAGCTCAATTACTCCAATAAATAGTTCTAGATATCTTAGACCTTACATACAAATTGCCTTTCTATAGTAACTAAACCACCCAATAATTTTTTCCCCAAATAAATAAAATGAGGAAGGCAGCCCTATACCTTTGTTGCTCTAAGGTGACCCTGTTAAGGGCCTGACAAATCATTTTTGTTTTAAAGCTATTAACTACTCATCAAGCATTTATTAAGCTTTGTTAAGTATATAGAGAACTCTAGTCCCAAGAGCTGTGCTCTATACTCTCCAAAAATATCTCTTGGGAGATAACACAAAATTTAAGTCCTCACAATAGTGATTTTATTAAATTAGTTGCTTTATAAAACATTGCAGATGTCATAATTGTTAACATAACAATTTACCAAACTAGTTAACTGGTGCAGCTTGCTGAGCATGTTTTATAAAGGAAAGGAAATGCCAAAACCCTGTTTAAAGTTATTCCATTGCAGCCCAGAAGAACAAAGGAGATTTGTTCCTCAGACACTTCAATCAGGCAAATAAAGCAGATAGGGTTCCCCTCCCCCATCTGAAGCAATTCATCAGTAGAACAGTCTGATAGTGTGCACTCGAGAGATTCCACAACTTGTAATACAGTAACGGAGAGGTTTACCTTCTTCAGCTTCAAAGTGGAGGGTTTTGGTCAATTTTTAAGTATCAAACTAGTAGTTTTCAGCCGCCGTATCTTCACTCTGACAAAAGCAGTCTTCTTCACAATGTATGTTTAATATCCTCACGCTCAATTTTAAGACAAAGCAATTTTAATACTAGGTGCACACCACATGCCCTTGCTGCAAACTGCTTTTCTTGACAAGTTATGAAGTAGTTCAAGGAGGTATGGTTAAGGCTGTATTACTGACTGGTGCTGGTCAATACTACACAATTTCTTGTCATGTTGCAACCTTTGTTTCCAATTTAGTGACTGTTGCTATAGAATCAGATAGCAACAATGACAACATTATTAAGTTTGTGTGTTTTTTAAAACTATGATTTAGTAGCAACTGAGGTTCCCAATTTTAACCCCTTGGCAGCAAGATCCAAGTTCCCTCATTTGCACATTAGCACCTAAGTGTCAAGGGGTTAAGTAACCAGCACAAAAGATACTGCACTTCTGATTGTAGCATTTGGCAGAACTGAAAGGAAAGGAAGTTGTGCTACATGTTGAAGGGATTGTGGGCAACAGAAAGAAGACACCAGAGAAGATAAAATGTCACATGAAATCTTCAAAGTCTTGTACATATCCTCCATCATAACCACCATAATCTGCCAGATCGTCTTTCATGGTGGCCTTTAATCCCCCTCCAGGAACCACACCTTTCTTCTTCTTTTTGGCTTTGCTTTGCTAAAGATAAAAGAGAGTCAATTCATGAGACTTGATCTACCAAGTGTTTCTTATCTGGGATAGCAACCCTCAAAGAGACACCAAAGTCTCTGGTCACAGAAAAACTTCAATTCTCTAAGGGAGATTCCCAGACAACCCAGGGCAATTTCTACTATTAATTCAGAAACCAAAACTGTGAACATGTTTGTTTGGAAAAAAAAAAAAAAGTAAAAGTCACTCACACTCACACTGTTCTATTCCAATTTAAATGGTATTGGTAAACTGCTTGACCTTTAAGTTTCCCAGGCTTGTCAAGAATGTTATGCCTGCACCACCATCCTCATGAAATACACATCACCCCACACATCTTGCTCTTACCTTTTCTTGCTTCTGTTTCTCACTACAAAGCACAGTCAGTGAATTGGTGATCTTTTTCAAGTCATCAATTTCCACTATGAAAGAAAAAGTATGCCACTAACTTTTAATCATTTTTGGGAATAAGTAAGGGCAAAATATACATTCTTCCCATGTGCTATGAGAAATCTAATTTGTCTATCATTAACTTCAGTATCTTTGAAAAGGTTGTAATTCTCCTGTTTGACATATGGCCAGGCATACAAATCAGAACTATTAAAAACTAGAGGCCCGGTGCACGAATTTGTGCAGCAGTGGGGTCCCTTGGCCTGGCCTGTGGGATCGGACCAAAACCGGCTCTCCAACATCCCCCTAGGGATCCTGGATTGCAAGAGGGCACAGGCCAGGCCAAGGGACCCCACTG